CCCCAAAGCCCCAGTAGATAGTTGTATGTCATAGTTGCACATCCTTCTAGTTGCTGTATGTGGGATGCGGCCTCAGCATGGCTGGAGAAGCGGTGCATGGGTGCGCGCCCGGGATCCGAATCCGGGCCTCTAGTAGTGGAGCACGTGCACTTAACCGCTAAGCCACGGGGCCGGCCTCTCCATCTGATTTTTGATGGGACCCTGACTGACCTAATTTGCCATTGCTGAACCTCCATTACGTTAAGTCATTTGGCCTCTGCTGCTAGTTGCCAGATCCTTCCTCTGCTTCTTAGTTCAAAATCAAGGACCAAAGACTGATTGTCTCATTTTTTTTTTTTTTAGCCAGATCACACAAGTTATTATCCATCCTATAGATTATTTGCCCTTGGGTAGCGTCCCCATCTAGTCTGGAGGAATAATTTATTTGGTTCGAAACACTCCCATCAAGGCAGTGGGTGGGAGAGCCAGTTATCAGTAGGAATGTGACAGAGGTACATCCTTTAACCAGGTTTTCTTCCCTTTTCCTTATCTTAGTGAATGGCAACACCTTCCAGTCCATATAACCTAGGAGTCATCCTTTTACACACCCCTTTCCCTCACCCTCCATAATCCATTCATTTACCAATATTTCTCAAGCATCTACCAGGCAGTGTTCTAGGGACTCACCAAAGGCAGTCAATTGTACCTCCTAAGTGTCTATCAAGTCCTGCTTTCTTCACTGTCACCACCCTACTCTAGGCTACCATCATGCTTCTAGAGTACTGTTACAGCCTCTTTTTTTTTTTTTTTTGTGAGGAAGATTAGCCCTGAGCTAACATCCACGCTAAGCCTCCTCTTTTTGCTGAGGAAGACCGGCTCTGAGCTAACATCTATTGCCAATCCTCCTCCTTTTTTTTGTTTCCCCAAAGCCCCAGTAGATAGTTGTATGTCATAGTTGCACATCCTTGTAGTTGCTGTACGTGGGATGCAGCCTCAGCATGGCTAGAGAAGCGGTGCATCAGTGCGC